GATAGGATCGGTCATATACACAATGAGGTTGCCCGCGATTGTAAATACAGTAGTGCTAATGAACTCGTGATTGCGTTGTTTGTATGAATGGGGCGTTAATGAGGTATAGACAAACCGTAAAAGGAAAAACAAGGGCAAAAGGGAGAGGAAAGGCTTGTCTCTCTCTCTCTGGACCGTTAATCTTGCTGGTATTTCCCTGAACGTACTACAGAATTTATTGATTGCTTTCCACTTTCATTTTCACAAACAAAGTTTCTGAACGTGTATCGACTCGGTGAGAAATTATTCTTTATTAAAGCGAATTGTGTTATTGTGTTGCATAATTCGGAAACGTTGCTGTCATCTGTCTTTGAAATCTAGTTTATTGAAATTACTGTTTTGAATAGGATATGTCGAAAAACATTGAGTTGGTGCACGGCACATATCGGTGCACCACACACAAGTTACTTCTAAAACAATTAGTGGTTAAACCTTGTAAGTTTTGTGAAGTAGATCAGTTGGCGCTTCAAGTTGTATTTTCATAGCATAGCCATAATTTGACATAAAACTTTATACAACTCTGCCATGTGGGGGCTAAAATTTTCAAAATCATATGTTAGTTCTAAACCCCTCAAAATAATACTTTAGTAAAAGAGAAAAAAATGAAATCGGATACATTGTGGCTCATCACGGACACATATCCTACCGGTCCTGATGGATCAAGATCTGTAAATGCAAGCTCTCCGCTCTCCCCTTCCTCCCCCTTCTCCCCCCTCCGATAACAGGACGCTATGGGAGACTTGTCACCCGTTCCCCCTTAAACCTCCAAAACTTATTATTATATTTCCATGTTTTTTTTTCTGTCGTGTTGCAGGTTGACTCGAGAACGGGTCTCATCGACTTTCGGACGCCGGCGGGGGGCCTCATGTCAGCGACGTCGTCCTCGTGGCCAGGAGGGAGGACACCTCGTCACGTCAACGCCGTCGTCCAGGATGGTGTAGTCCAGCATCGTGCATCAAGTGGCTGCAGCAGCAGCAGCTCCTTGTGACCTTTGGATGATGATGACGATGGTACTGAAGATGCTCAGGAAGTTGGGGCAGAGTTCTTACTTCCGGTGCGCGCACACAGTAGTGCGGTGTGTCCGGGACGATGCCTCGCGAGCGCGTGTGGCAGTGCGTCCCCTGTGTCGGTCGGTACTCGCCGGTACCCGTCGCGCGCGGTACGCACTCGGCCGGATGTGGCCACCGATTCAAGATTCTGTGGATACGGTGCTTGTGCGTGTGTGTTTGTGTGTGCTTCCGGGCGCCCCCGCCCGAAAAACATGGAAAACTGGTGGTCGAAGTGGCTGCTCTTCGTCCTTGGATGTCTGCCGCCGCGGCCCGCGGTCACCGTCCTGCAAGCAAGGTAAAGATTTATTAGACTTAATTACTATTTTTTGGTATAGTTTCAAAATAATTTTCGTTTTGAGACGGGATCTTTCCAAAAAAGAAAATGTTTCTTGCTTCTGCTCGCCGCCATGCGAGAAATCATACAACTACTAACAAGCATGATGGTTGTATTAGAGAACGAATTAGATAAAACAGAAGATTTTCTAATGTATCAAAGTTACAAGTCACACATGGTATTTTTAAACCAATTGTTTATTGTGAGTTCAATACGTTTAGCCATTAGTAGCTGTCAAAAATAAAATGATGCCGCTTTAAAATACGTACGATTCTTTAAGAATCTCTTTCTTCTATAATTTTAGTTTTACGTTACAATTAGCTGGCAAAAGCACAGGTTCCCCGGCAGGCTTCCTCCATCTCTCTGCGGAGCACCGCAGCGGCCCGTTCCGCCGGGCGGGCGGTCCTGGCCCGTTCGCCGCCAGAGTTGCTGCCAGCGGGCCGGGCGCGGGCGCGCCGTAGCCAGGCTGTAGCCGCTCCGAGCCGCACCAGCCTCCACCGCCATCTTGGGTCCCGGCGCAGCCAACCGGCGGCCGCCGGACAATGGCGTTGTGAAAACTACTTTTACTCGACTCTCGATTTCTGCCGTATTGTCACGCGCCTTCACTCTCCTCTGTGCAGTGAAAGTGAATTTGCAGAGTGGCTGAATCGGAATGGGGCAAGACAGGGCAGGGCGCGCTCGACTAAGTGGCGGTGAAAACCACAGGTCCTCGCAGAGTGCATAGTTTTAAAATCTCTCATATTTGGTTACGCGCAAGAAAACATAAACTGCAGTCTTTATCTCCTGCTTGTCCATTGTTTAAATTAATGTTGGAATACTTTACTACAAACCCCTCGTGCACGAAGTGTGAACTCATCCCCACTCTCCTTATTTGTAATAATTAGAAGCTCATGAAGTCAAGCAAAAAAACATGAGTCTAGTCATTCTATAAACATTTCCTTAAATAAACGTTATACATTATGAGGAATGAGGACCCTCTTCAAGTACAAGCAAGGCACGAGCCTCGGATCTTGCACTTATTATTGGCGTTCTCACTCTAAAAGCCTAGCTCTCAAAACGAAGAAAACATCTGAAAGCATTTTGCCATCAGTTTGCCCCCTCGAAAATATTCTTAATTCCAGTGCACTTGGTCCTGAACTGACTTTTGTCCGAGGGGTGGACGACTGGGCGGCTCCTGTGTACAGGCCAAAATGTACTCCAGGTGTTCTCCGATTGTACTCCGTGTACTCCGGCTGTTTTTGTCACAAGTTCTCCGCGTACTCCGGTGTACTCCGGGTGTACTCCAGGTGTACTCCAGGTGTACTCTGCGCGCTCCGACCGTCAATACTCAGTATTCTCCGACTGTAATCCGTGTACTCCGTACTCCTGTGTACACGAAAAATTCAAGTCGCCCACCCCTCGCTTTTGTCGCCTCGAGTGAAATTTTCTCACATACTGTAGAACAGTCTTTACTCTATTCGAAACATTTTTACTCATATTAACCAAAAACTAAATTTCTTAGTAGAATTAAAATAACAGTTCAGGACCATGCTAAACAATTTTTAATTTTTGAATCTTGCCTCCGTTTTGGGAACTTTTTGCTCGCAGTGGCTGTGCCACACACCTATACCTCACTCACCCACGTCTCGTGTCCACCGTGCGTCATGCAACCCTAATCCAGCAGTTCGTGCTTGCAGCCGACTAACACAGTCCCCTCCCCGCGTGCTCCCCCCTTCCCCTTTCTCAACATCAGACCCCTCGGTGGGTGGTTGTCCCTCAGTGTCGTGGGACTTTGGCCAAATATTTGACTCCTGGGACGCTAATCCATCGTCCGCTATTTCTAGAGGTCCCTCCCGCCTGCACCCAAGCCTCATCCTCTGCCCCCCTCCCTGCTCTCGCTTTTCCACCTCTTCTGTCCCCCCCTCCCCCAATTCCTCTGTCGGTCTTCCACCGCCCCGTCACATTCGCCATGCAGGACGTTGTGTTCACAAGTGTTTGTGTATTTTCTACTGTTTCTGTGTGAAACTGTTCACCTTTTCCTTTAATTCGAAAACAAGCCGAAAAAATGTGGAAAGTTACCATGAATTTCTTGAGTTTTTCTGACTGCGTTCGGGACCTAATATGGCGCTGGGATGAAGTGGTCCAAGCCATCAGGCCAAACCAGGCCACCATGGGATCCAGGGGCCAAAAGGCCATGTGCTGGGTCAAGTGGACGCTCGCTATCGGGAAGGGGGCCTCTTGTCCCATCAGCGTCTGGCGTCCCTGAAAAAAAAAAGTTCGTCAGTACTCACGAAACACAGAGACGCACAAAGTATTGAAAACCCCAGCGCCCTTTCCTCTTAAATATCCTACTTAGCAGTGAAATATTGATACCGGAACGATATCAAACATCAGACAGTAAGCTATACGAAACATCAGATCGATATTGGAACGATATCAGACCTGGAAATTCGTCGGCTTTTCCATCAGATTCATAAAAATGGTCTTAAAATGAACTCATTTTCGATATCTGATATCGTCATGATAACGGTCTGATATTCCATTGCTCACTGGAGGGGGAAAAATTTTTGTGATATCGTGACGAGCATGTTACAGGGGCGTGTCAGCTCGGCGTGACAGTAACTCCTGAACGGAAACCCGCCAGACGCTATCGGTGACGGGTACGCTTCCTTCAGCAAACTGGCTTTGGCACCAGTCCCGTCGCATGTCCACGACAACGAGAGAAAAAGAAACACATGCACAAAAAAACAAGACGTTCAGTGTTCAACACGAATTACACTTTATAGAGTGCAAAACAGTACCAGTCATTGTGATGAGCACGTTTGTGAGCGGCGCTTTGATGTTTTTATGGTCATTTCCTGAATGTGTCACACACACTAGGTAAGACTTAAGCTCCTTATCGATTTTTGAATGTTAGGGTTTGGAAAGTTTTGAAACAATTTGATTTATCTAAAAAATCTGCGTAGTGTACTTGTGTTTTATTTACAAAAAGGAACGGCCCTGCTTCCTCGACTCCATATTCCTCAGCGCCTGCACTCAGTGATATTGGACCTCTCCCAACCGCAGACGTCTTCTTCTTCTTTCGTTGCTCTCCCTAAGCACACCCCCTCCCCTTCCATCCCCCTTTTCACCCCCTTGTCTTTCGTCGAGGTGGCGTGGTGGATAAGGGAGAGGGGAAAGGGGGGGGGGGGCTGCCTCTCTGAGCTTCATTTCCTGCGGCGGAGGAAACTTACACGAGAGGGCTTTGGGGGTGGCGTGGTTTGGAGTGGGCGCATGTATGTTTTGTATAAATCTACAACCAGTCCCCCTCTTCCTCCTCCCTCTAGGGTGCGTTCGTGACTTGGGTGGGATATGAGCGAGAACGTTTCCAATTCAAACTTTTCTCCACAGGTTTTGAAACAAAAATGGAATTAATTGAACGCAATATTTATATCGAGTAACAGGCTTTGCCAAAGTTTGGCAATCCTATCTTTAAGTGGCATATTCCTTTTCTCTCCTCTACCCTCGCTTTTTGCGTGTTTAATCCTTTTAGACGTGGATGGGGTAGGGTCTCTGTGTAGTATTGCAGGGAGATGCTTGTCCGCCTTACGGACGGAGGCTGCTACTTTGTCGCTGATTCCCTCAATATTCCTCGCGGCTTGCGTCTCAGCCCGTGTCTGCGCATAGATTGGTCAAGTTTTCTTTTACGGGGGCTCACCAGGAGGGTTAGCAACCCCCTCTCCCCACCCCTCCCCCCTCACCCGAACCTCCAATCCAACTCTCTCACGCAATTCCCCTCCTCCCACCCCCACCCCCTCTCTCTCCCTCTCCTCTCGTCGTTCGTCTCTTTTGTGCTTTCTCGTACAAAAGTAGCAGGCGGGTGCGCTACTCAGACGACCCTGGCCGCGCTGTGGAACTTGTCGGACTGACTTAGGTCTTAGACAAAAAGTTTTTGCAAGGGATACAGCATCCGCTGGTATTGCGTGCCTTCCACCCCCACCACCCAGCTGCTTCTCGTTTCCTTGCCTCATTTCCTTCATTGAGTCCGGCTCTAAGTTTGCAGAACGGTACAGAGCGACGCTAGTGTGCTAGCCGAGGGGGTAAATATTGCAAACCCGCCCCCTTACCTCACACTCCCTCGCCACCCTATGACGTAGCAGTCTTTTGTCTGAATCGTTTTTTGCTGTTGCAGAGAATTACTCGATATTTCTCTTGTTACCCAATTCTTTGGAAACTTATAGATTTTGTAGTATTACATTTTTTCCATAAGCTGGATGTGATCGAAAACAACGTCGTTGAAGAAATACTTTCCATTTAACGTCCATTGTTGTCGATTCCATTCTAAATCCTTAAATCTTTAGCTTCTTTATTCGCGGTCGCGCAGATATTGCAGCGATGGATGCACGCTCACTCGTAAAGGAAAATTTTCGTCTTATTTCCGATGATCCCCGATACGATACGACCCGGGCGGACCCGCGGTCCAGTTCAGCTGGAGAGCATTGTCGGCATGTGACCCCGAGAGGAAAACAAAAACTATACACCACAAATGTAATACGTGGTCCCAGTTTTACTGGGCCCATATTTTCTGCTGCTGCCCTCCCTTACCGTAAATTCTACCCCCTCCCCCCCTCCATGCCCCTCCACCGCGCCCCGGTGCGCGCTCCCGGGCGGACGACACGAGAAAGAGAGAGAGCGAGGGAGAGAGAGAGAGAGAGAGGACAGGCCTGGCCAGGGTGCGCAAGTATGGCACTATACTGCAGACTATACTTCGCGGTAACCCCTCGCCCCAACCCCCTTCCTCCTTCCTCCGCGGGGAGAGACTAGCCCAGCATCCCCCTCATGGACCGCGCGGGCCTGCGTGTTTCACCCCTCTCCCTCCCATTTTGCTTTCTCTCTCTCTCGGGCTGTGCTCCTTTCCATTAACCCTGTACCTCGTTTGCGGCGACGCTTATGGCGCCCTGCTGTACCACTTTGCCAACGCCCAGAGGAGTGCCTCATCACTAGAGGAGACCCTCTGAATTTCTCATAACTACCCTTAACATATTTTTAATGTTGACGTGGAAGGGGGAGCTTGTCTTTCTGATAAGTCAAATTCTGAAATATAAATTTCGACGAATAGTGTGCTGGGGGGTTATTGAAAGCAAATCCAGACGAAATGAAATTCCTTATTTTGCCCTATTCTTGCGAAGGAGCTCCTCAAGCCACGTAAGGACGGAATCAATATTTTTCCATCCAAGATAGGGGCACGACCCTAAGCCTTTGAGCCCCGACGGCACTGCCACTGCTGCCGCTGCTGTCACATATGCCCTGAGCCCCCCCTTTCCCCCCTCCTTGCTGCGCCCATCACTGGGAGGTAGGCAACCCACGCGACTTTATGGTGCCACGTGATCGGGTTGGGGAAGCTCGGACGCAGGCACTGCAAGAAACAAAACTAATAAGAATGACCGGTGATGCAAACGGCTTTTCATATGAAAATTGTTACTTATTTCCGCTCCCCCGGCGGTAGAAGGATTAGATTGAGACTTCTTCGTCGATGATTCGAATTCAACCTTCTCTTCGAGTTACGAGTGTCTTATCATCATTTTTCCTCCCTCGGGAGACTTGAGCGCATGGCGAATGGATTTGGTACGCACGGCCATGATTGGTTACCCCCTCCTCCTCACATTTGCATACTACACAACCTGGCCACCCCGGCCAGGGCCACAGCTGTTGATATTCATAACTGGCGACAGAGAGAGGCAAAGGAAGGGGGAAACGAAATCGTATCAGGCCGCTTCGATATCTGTATGACGCGGACGAGGTGGTCCCTCTGTGTGAGCGGGCACGCATGGGAGGGGCGGCTAATGTGGGGCCCCCATCGGCTCGAATGGGGTAAGGCTATGGGACCTCTTACAAGGACTCCCAAGGCGTCCATAAGCCGAAGGGGTGACTAGGCCGCGGGTGGGACACAAAGTAGGCTCATCGCCTGCTGGCTGAGGGCAAGTAAACACTTCTAAGTGTGCCACGTCCTTGACGAACCCAAGTAAAAGCAGGGAAAACCACACGGGCTGCCGAACACCTGAAAGCGTTCAGCTCTTTGAATAAAAAATAAAAAAAAAAAAAAAAAAAAAAAAAATCCATGTGATTTGGAAAAAAAATTCACCAGGGCAGTACAATATATAAGCTGAGCAATGAAACGCTATCTCACACTAACACCTTCAAGTGCTTAACTTGAAACTTCAGTGCACTTAGTTCTGTTTACTGGTTGAACACTTGATCAGCGAAAAATTATTGGGTCAAACCAGACGGTACCGAAATATTTTTAACTTTGCTGGTAAGGGCGGACTGCGAGACCATTCCTCTTTCTTATGTCTGCTACTTGTGTGGACCTAGACGTCCTGCTCTTTCTCCCAGTCTCTCTATCTGCGCCTCTCTTTCTCTGATATAGCCTGGCTGGCGGAATCGTTTGCTCCGCCCCGTTTGTAGCAGTGTAGCTTTCTGCGAGATTGGTAGCGCGAGCTGGAAGGGGTTAGCAGGGGGAAAGGGGTGGGAGGGGATGTCACCCGTCGGCGTTGGGACTGTCTGAGGGAAGGGGCCCTGAAGTCTCGTACACGGCTGCGTGCGGAAGCGCTTGACTGTGTCGGCGACCTCGGGCTGTAGACAGAGAGGGAGCATGATGTGCCTCAGGATTTTTCTCAGGGGGTACGCTGCTGCGACTTCGAAAGTAGCTTGGGAGAAAAACTCGTCCGGTGGAAGCGGCCAAATTGAGTGAACAAGGACGTTTGGGAGCAAGGGTAGAGGGAGAGAGGGGGGATGCTACAACACTGTCCTCTTCTTTTAGCAGCTTAGGGGATGATGACAACGGGGGGTGGAGAGGGAAGAGGAGGGGGCATGGAAGGGCGTATCTAGATGTTTCCGCTGATCTCAGAGGAGACTCCCGGTTCGGGTCGGGCAGGGCCAAAACTGACAATACTCTCCCCCTCTCTCTCTTGTGCTCTGCCGTGCTTGCTTCTGGTCTCTCTCCCTCTCGCCATTTTGACCTGCGTCCTATTTTCCTGGAGGTCGGGTTATTTGGAGTGGGTGGAGCAGAAAGGTTTTTTCTCCCTTCTCTCTACCACTCCAGTCCACACCACCCCTTTACCACTCGACTCCCCCCCGCCTCTCCCCCCTCTCGCTCCGTCATGCCCTCGTGAACTTTATATATTCGCGAAGGGCGAGCGAGGGCCGGCGGCGGGGCGGGGCGGCAGCAGGGTGGCGGGCGGAGGAATATTGTGTCATTTCGTGGGGTTCATTTACACACAGCG